TAGGGGTCAGATTTTGGGTTGTACAAAGGCTGCTATGGATGACCTTCGGGCGAGTATTACGGTCACAACCGCGAATGACACGGACAGGGTTGGGGATGTTGTTGGGAATCAAGAGTCAGTTAACGATCCTCGTCATCATGTTGGCAGCAAATCCGACATGATCATATAGTACAGCTCTTGGGCTTGTTTTGCATCCTGTACTGCTCCCCGGGCCTCCAACAAGCGGACGTTGTAAGGTGTCACGCCGCGTTGCGGCAGATGTGTGCTCTGGGACCAGGAAAAACAAACCCTGAGCTCTGCCTTGATCCCCCGATCCGGGCCACCATCTGGCTGTTGAATCTTAAACCTGCCTGATAGACTCCCCTGGTCGATGTCCGCTTTTGTTTGATGTGTGACACACCGCCCGACTACTCGCCAGGAGATGTGACACCTGTCGCACCGACTGCCAGCCCTGCAATACCCTCGCCGACCGCCGTGCACTCCTCGCCGCCACTGCTTGCTCGCAGCGTTCCCGCAGCCGATGCTGCTCTTCCCCCCTATGGCTCCTAGGCCCTGGCGCCCCGGTTCCGCCAACATGCTCCTCCGCAGATGCCTGCCCTGTGTGCATGTGCGACGTCCACGGTGGAGGGCTTGGCCCGAAATGCCGTATGCGTGGCCCAAGTGCCAGCATCGCTTGCATCTCGGTTGCTTGGCCCACTTGGCCGTGAAAGTGCACCCCTTGCGCTGCCCATCCTGCCGCGTGCATTGGCCGCCGCAAGCAGCGGACCCATTCCTTGAAGCGTGCCGTCTGCATGGAGTCGCGCTGCCAGGCCCAGCGCTGGAGCACGACACTACGTCGGCCAACCATCGGCAAGCCCTCGCCCCAGAATGCCCGCCGCCTCCCCACATGTTGCCCCTGGGTTGCCCGCGCATCTACCTGGCGGTCTCGGCGCGGGCCGCATCACCGGAAGCTTGACAGCAGCTGCCAAGCCGCCATATGCATTGGGCACTTGTTCACTGCAGGCGGGATAACTCCTGTCTTTTGCCTTCGCTGCAACAGAACAGTTGATGGCTCGCACCGCTTACTGCAGGACATCCCCGACCGACCTGTGTGCCCCGCCCATGGGCCACGACTCCTCGCGCCAGATCTGCGGGAAGGCAGTTGTGGCTGGGTGTGTCCCCGTGGGTCCCTGCCACAATCCTATACCGTTCGCGTCCCACTGGAGCCCCATGCAGCTGAGGTCCCACCCAACCAGCCAACGGGCGAGCAGCCATGGTACACACGTGGGCCTCCTTCTGCAGGCAGCCCGACGCAAAGTTGGATTTTCGTTCCGTCGTTGCATGCTGCCGTGGGCCGACTACACCCTCAATGCGAACAACAATGGGCGAGCCCTGCGAGCTATGGAGACATTTGGACACGATCCCTCCACGCCCTGCGCGCAGCCGCCCTGGCCCCACCACACTCCCTCACTCACGCTTTGCACGTATTGAAGCAGCTTGCGTCTGGCGAAGGACGCCCCGTGCCTGTGCAAGAGGCCCAGCTGCTCCTCAGCCTGGTGGCCGCTACCAAGGTTCTGCCCACCAACACACTCGTGCACTTGTTATGGGCAGGCGAATCGGCGGCAGCCCACCTTGTGCAGCAAGTTGCCAACGCACACATCCCACCAGAGCCTCCCCCAGCCCCCCCTTACAGCCCAGCATGCCGCAACAGCCCGCAAACCCCACTGAACGCCCCGGCTCAGCCGCGAACTCCTCGTCCAGCTCTTCGCCATCTCCCGCGCCTGGCGCCCCAGCCTCCGAAGCCGCGGACGAGCCTGTGCATCCCCAAACCCCTGCCTCCATGTGCCGATCCAGCCGGGACGTTTTTCGGCAGATGGAGAATGGCATGCGGCAGGCGGAAAAAGGTGCGAGAGAAAAACCAATTAAAAAACGCCAATGAACAGCGACCCGTCATTGCACCTGGACCACACCTTCGGACAGCCGCCAGAAAGACGTAAAGACACCTTTGGTGCTTGAGAAAAATGTTTCGTGAGGATACTCACGGCGCTTAGGGCTCAGGAGATTATATATGGTCAGGGGTCTGGCGTTCCCAGCCCCCCCCCCCCAATGGTATGGTCTGCTAGGGGTCGGGGGGGGGCTGGCGTGTGCGGAAAGGGGTCGGGGCTGTTGGAGCTGCCACTGGATGGTGGGATGGTGCTGGTGGCCAGGGCTCGCTCGCAAGCCCTTCGCAAGCAAGCCGTTAACCTATAACGCAGCGCGTCCCCTGTTTTGAGTAACCTGAACTTGTACTTCAAACCCTACACCCAACCCTAAACCCCACCTAACTGCAGGCTTTACGCTTAAAGCAGAACATACACCGCAAAACCTCCCTAAGCCCTTGTCGACTCGAAGCGCTATACCTTGTAACCGCAATGTGCCGGTCGGTTTAGGAATATGGGCTCCTTTAATGCGTCGGCTCGAGGGCTAATTCCGACCGGTACCAAAAATTTGGGCGGTCTAATTAATGCGTTCTTTTTTTGGCTGGGGTGATTTTTTGGTGGCGGGGCTGTGCTATTTGCTGATGGTCAATCTTAAGGCAGCCACGACCTAAACCCCCACCCAAACCCCCACCCAACCCTAAAACCCTGGCCCTGAAGACCTAAAACCTCTTGCAGAATTGTTTCGCTTATTGGGGCGTCAGGAATGGGACTCTGTACTACTACTGTACTACTATTGTACTATTGTACTGCTACTGTATGCCTTGCTTATTGGGGGAGGGCTGCTAGGGTGAACCGCCGAATCGGGGATTCGACCCTAGCTCAAAAGAGGCCTCTCCAGTACTAAAGTTTGTATAAAAAATTCAATTTTGGGTCCAATCTGGACCGACCCCCCTTTGGGAAGGGTTTAGGGCTTAGGGTTTAGGGTTTGTTAGGGTTTAAGAGTTTAGGGTTCGTTAGGGTTTAGGGTTTTTGTAGGGTTTAGGGTTCAGGGTTTAGGGTTCAGGCGCTGGCTTTATGCTTTGCTTATTGGGGGAATGTGCTCACTGGCTTTATGCTTTGCTTATTGGTATTATTTCTGTACTATTACTGTATTACTACTGTACTCCTGTACTACTGTTGTACTACCACTGTACTACTAGTGTACTACTGTACTACTATTGTACTACCACTGTACTATTACTGTACTACTATTGTACTACTGTACTACTATCGTATTACTACTGTACTAGTGTTGTACTACCACTGTACTACTGTTGTATTACTATTGTACTACTGCACTACTAGTGTACTACTACTGTACCACTATTGTACTACGGTACCATAATCGTACTACTACTGTACTACTACTGTACTACTATTGTGCTACTATTGTACTACTGTACTATTATTGTACTACTACTGTACTACTATTGTACTACCACTGTACTACTGTTGTGTTACTATTGTACTACTGCACTATTATTGTACTATTACTGTACTATTACTGTACTACTACTGTACTACTATTGTGCTACTATTGTACTACTGTACTATTATTGTGCTATTACTCTATTACTATTTTACTACCTCTGTACTACTGTTGTATTACTATTATACTACTGCACTATTATTGTACTACTATTGTACTGCTACTGTTTTATTTCTACTGTACTACTATTGTACTACTGTATTATTATTGTACCGCACAAAGCTTCAGACGTGGTCGATTGTGGGTGGGAGTGTGTGAGTGTAGGTTACGGAGGCAAAAGTGTTCAAAATGAAGGGTTTTTAGTCTTGGTAGTAGTCTTGCAGTGATCGGGGCTTGGTTTCCAGCATTTGGTGATCCCCAGACCCCCCCGACCCCCGACCGCGCATTCGCGCAGAACCGCAGACCCTGCACCCAAGCCAACCCCCCAAACCCCGGCACCTCCCAATTCCCTGCCACTCAGTGTCCGGGGTTACCGGTTCCAAATTACAGAGACCAAAACTTTTTGGTCGGGGGGGGGGGGGGGTACCCCACTATTAAACCGACCGCCACATTAAACCCAACATTCGAAAGCTTAAGCTAAACCCGAAACCCCAAAACCCCAAAACCACCCCACAGCGGGAACAGGGACCCCACACCCCACACTACAGGGGGGGGGTCCCACCTTAATTATATCCGGACCATTGACCTTTGGGGGGGGAGGGGCGGGCCGCGGAGCGCGTGACCACATATTGTTTGTTTTTGTTAATGCCGCCTGTTCCAGCGCACGGTCGCAGTCGAAAGACCCGTTTCGTTGTGGCATGTGACTCAGAAAATGTGTGCTTGACCCCAGCTTTTGCACTTCACATCCGGGTGATGCGTGTCCCTCCTCATTGACGTGAGAATACACCCGCCATCTGTGAATTGCAGCTCCGCCGAAAAGCACCGCTCAGCCCTGCTGACTCCTCCGAGCAGCGACATTTTGCCAATTGCGCTGTAGTTTGCCGGATTGGGCGCTCTGCACTGGGACAGCGGCGTGGACTGTTGCAAAAAAGGTGCGAGACAAAAGCGTAAGCTTGGATCATTGGTTGAATGCCTCCATGTATCCCCACATATTGTTCGAAGGAATGTTCGGCTCATATTATTGCATTATGTTTGGGGATATCACGTGACATCATCGATGCATGCATGATGCATGTGTTTTTTTCATTTGCACTTGCGGTTTGCTTCCCTCCCGCTCCGAAGCCATCGGGCCTCTGCTGATCTTCCTCCTGCCTTCCGTGCCTCAGCCGAGGTGCCCAGCCGTTGCCGGTTTTCCGCGTAGCATGCAGCTCCTGCATTGAGTTCGGGTGATACTTGACGAGTTCATGCTTGGACGTTCGGTGTAGTTTCGTTGATATCCATGTTTTTTTTTGCCACGTTTTTTGCCAACATAGTCAATGCACTAGCGGCGGCAGCGGCGGTCGGAGCAGATTTGTTCTTAACGGAATTTTGGGAGTTCTTGGGTTCAAGGTTCAAGTCTTCCGAGCCATTGGATCGAGCACTGAACTTGCCCCTGCACCACCTGAAGAAACGCATCCCTCCCCTGGCTGCCTGCCATGGCAGCTGTGTCAGCGTCGATTATTGGGGCATCAATCACTTATGGTTTCGGCCTTTGGGCCTTAGGGCTCCGCAAGACCTTGCTGATGTTGGTTTCCCTTTTGGCATTGCTCCTTGTGATCTTTTTTGTTCCTGACACGGACTTGGGCAAGTATTTCGCCAACGTAGCGGCTTTGGTGCTTTTGGCGTTATTCCCGACACTGTTGTGTGCAGCAATCGGATGGTGCATGACCGCAATGACCGAATGCATGCAGTCGGAGGGCCAATGCAAGCAATGCAGGCTTTTTGCCGTCTATGCAGGGATTGTTTTTTGCACGTTTGCCGTCGTGAGTGCGCCTTCTGATTTGTCCGGTTTAAGACATCAGTTCCGTGAACAGTGCGTTCGGCACTTGTCCTGGAGCCCAATCATGCGGGAAGCTTGCAAGAATCCCGGGGACATGCCAGAAATTTGCGAGAAGATCTCGCACCTGGATGTGGTCAACACCAACATCGGACCACCATGCCATGCCTGGTGCCGGGATTTTGACATGTACCTACCATTCATTGCTCATTCGCATGGATACGCCTGCCTCCGTGTGTATGTTTGGAGGGCGCTAGCGCTACCACCCATAAGAATCAGTATTCCTGGCTCGCTGATGGCTGCAAGTCTGGCTGCGTGTGCATACGGCCTACTGAGCTTCAAAGCGGTGGTTGCAAGGTTGCTGTGGAATCGCACCATGGCCGAAACGCAAGGTTTCGAGACACTTCCATCGCAGGGTCCCGAGCACCTTGGCCCCAGCCCCACCAGTTTCTTGGAAGATGGTCCTTTCGCCAAACCGGCCATGCTGCTGGAAAGATTCTGCAAGTATAGGTCTGCATCCGACCTGGAGGCAGAGAGGCTTCGCCTCATTTTCACCTTTCTCCCCGCAGCTGTCGAGCCCGCCAGCGACATATTCAGCATCACGACCCTGCTGGCTCAAGGCCAGCCGTCCTACGCGGCAGCGATGCTGGCAATGGTGATTTTACCCAACATCAAGGACCCGTTTCAGCAGCAGTTTGGAGAGGCTTTGGTTGACTCCTACGACCGGGGCTACCCGACCGAGCACACACTGCGCCATCAGTTGCGGGAAGGGACTTGGGAAGCGTACGTGGGCAGCATTGTGGCTGTGTGTGCACTGATGCGAACGCCTTCCCTCAATGCCATATCCGTTGGCTCGCTGATGTTCAATGTGGCTCTTTCGGTTGTCCTCAGCATTCCCGGAGCCGCCAGAACATCAGCAGTGTTGACGGATCCTTCTGTTGATGTTGATGACTACTACGACATCAGCAGGACGCGAGCTAACCACGCAGTGATTTCGCTGTTAACTTTTTTCGTGTTATTATAGTAAGGCCTAAAACCCAACGCCCGCAAATTTCGAACGAAATCTGGCTTGCTGACAGGAGGAAAAGGCGGTGCATGTCTGGACCAAGTTCAGGCGATCTGCTGGCCTCATGGCCATCGCGCCTGTGTTTGCTTGGGGCCTTTGCTCGCCATCGTTCGGCATCCCGGCCCTCATTTGCTGCTGGTTGGCATTTTGTGCGCTTTCCGTTTGTTTCATGTCAATTGAAGTATGCTTGGATACATGCCTGGCTGACAAAGCCAATGCCGTGAACTATGTGCTTTCCACCCTGATGTACGGATCCCCGCTGATGTTGCGGGACTTCGAGCGGGAGAGATGGGCAGGTGGCAACAGAGCACAGTGGCTTGGGCCTTGTTCGGTCCGTGTTGTCGTGGCCACGCAAGACGTGATGCTGTTCGGGCTTTACTGCTTGCTGGCCCACGATGTGTTGACAGGGCAAGCTTATGTCCCTCCCCAGAAGCAGGGCGATGTTGCGTGGCAAGAGCACATGATTCAAACAGTGTTCCTGGTTTTGGGTTCGGGTGCTGCTTTGCTCGTTGTTACGATGGACTTATGGAGACCTCCTCAAGGCTGGATCGAGCCGGCTGACCCGGGCGAGTACGAGGTTCTACAAGAGGGGCTGCCGGTATTTGCCAGGCCGGTGAGCACAGCGGAGATTGTCCAGCGGCTGGAGTTCCTTGACGTCATCGAAATTTCCGAGCTCAGCACAGCAGCGATCGCCCAGCAGCCATTCTCGAGTGAGGACGTCGAAACACCCGCCAACGTGGGCCCGTCAGCCGCGGGAGCTCCAGGCGCACAACGTGCAGGGGACCGGGTTCGGCCAGTGAAATTTGAAACGTGGAATGCCCTAGGAACGTATATAAGGTGTAGGGTTTCCGATTTCGTATCGTAGGTCGAAGTGGCAACATGCGAATACCACGTTGGATGTCCTCGAAGTTTGCATTTCCAGGTTTGGGGTACGGGGGAAGAGATGGGAAGAGCTACTGCACAAGTACGACAAACCCTCTGTTCATGAAGCATTCTGTTTTGCAGGTCATGGGTGCGATGATGACGGTGACAGGGAGATGTTCCGCAACGCGGCCCTTGTCGGCAAGGTAGCGGATGGCTGGGTGGCTTTGCGGAGCAGTAAAGGCAACTTCCTGGCACAGAAATTTTTGGAAAAGCGTGCAGCACAACAATGATCAGTGCAGACGTCAGTTTTGACAAGAGGATGCCATCAAACGATTGGCACATTATAGTCCGGTCATGCTTTGTTATAATGTTTCCTTCTAGCCTCCTAATTAATGAACTCAATATAACTTAATCATACTCCAAAATCCCCCACATCAGAAACCCTATTCGTTTTTTTCGCCGCCCCGACGATATCTCATGCATTTCTTGGAGCGATGACCTCCTTGAGTCCTTGAACAGAGTCAAGGGGTTGGCTTCAACGTCGTGTCCAGACGGGCCATTCCTTAACCCCGCTGTGCGCAACTGCTGCTTAATTCGATCGAAAACGTTTCATCGCAGCCCGGCATTCGTATCCGCTTTTTGCACGCCTGGCAGACTTTGTCAATCAACGCTGTTTCCGGCTTGTAAAACTGTACAACTACTGCCGCCACGAGGTGTTTCACAACACTCATACTTGAAATTAAATTTAAGAGAGCAGTCAGAATAATTTCCAATATTATTCTTCAGGGTTCCTTGCTATAAGTATTTTTACTACCGCATACCCCGAAGACTTTTTGTAGCAACCAAGGCCAAGCCTTCTTGTAGCAATTAACTAAGGCGTACCAGGAAGCGAATGCTTGCCCCGCAGTTTCAAAGCATGCGAGTCGAGCGGAGTTCACACCGCACAATGCCGTGAGTCCGCTAAGATGAACTGGATGCGCAGCGCCCTTTGCAAAAGGCCTTGGCCCAGTGGTGATAAAAGACCCGGCATTGTCGGGAGATGGCCTCCTCCTTTCGGCATTTCATTCTGGTTAAGCCGGGCTTTCACCCCTTTGGGTTGTTTAGTACATCTACATGTACTACACCGATATCCACAACATCATTTATATTTGTATCTATGTGCGTTTATGTGTCTTTAATTTATCGATGTCTTTATCTTTCTTTGTTGTGTCCTTATCTGTTTGTATATTCACAATCAACAGGTAGGTAGAGCTTTCCTAGGCTGGGGTGCTCACCCCCAAGGTTTGTGTGTCAACTTGAGCCTTGTATCCAAGCAAGCCACGCGGACGATTCTTTGACTCCATGGCCGGTATTACTTAGAAGCTGCCCCCACCCTGTAATAGTGACTATAAGGATTATATTAGGGCCCTATTATATTCTTCTTATGCCACTATTTCAGGGTGGGGGGCCCTTCTAAGGTATTACATTCACACTCGGCCCCCCGGCAGTACTCAGTACGGGTCTCAGACCATGGCGTGTTTTGCTGCTCTTTTTTGGGACCTCGAGGTCATGGAGGCCAGGGGGTGTCGAGGTCCATAAGGCGTGGTGAAATTATGTCGCCGACCCCGTTAGGGTTTTCAGAGTCTAAGGTTTTGTAAGGTTGGAAAGACAGACGGATTCAGGGTGAGGTTCTGGTGGAGGGCTACGAGTGCCAAGTATTGCGTGACAGCGAGCTTGCTAGGCTGCGAGACCCTTCGAACCCAGAACTGTGTGATGCCCACAGCCAACAGGCCAAGAAGTTCGGTGGAGTAGTTTAGATTCAGAACTTTCCGACCCTGTCATCTGCGCCTGGGCCCGCAGCATTTGTATGCATTTGTTAGTTGCCCGGGCTAATGTACCTTTGCATGTCACGACTGCGTAAGTACCCCATCTTCTCAGAGGCTGTTAGCCGTCATACCCGGAAGTGCCCCTTTCCTGATATACCCCGTATTTACATGTCCGACACCATTTGCATTGCCTGTCCGTGTTTGCCGTGGCAACGCTTCCTCTGCGCCAGGGCGATGACTTGAGCAGACGGCGCCAAGCAGTCAATTGACGGTTTCACAGCCCTGCCCCGGCATGATTTGAGGTTTATTGCTCAATAAAGGGGTATTGTGCTATCTATGATTATTGGGGACTGGGTACAATCAGCACCGCTACGAGATTTAGTTGGATTCCCGCAGGAAGAACACTCGGCGCACGAAACGACCTCTCTGTACTGCAGCGTCGGTTCCAGTAGCCTGTTCTGTGAAGTAGAGTCCCAGTGCTGTAGTCCGGCACCTCTTTTCGATCGTTTGGGGAGCAAGCCGGGGAGATCACCGAAAGTTGCGGCATCCGTGGGTTCCGGGGAGAGGGTCCAATCCGGGTTCAATCATCATTTTCCTCGATTTGTTGCCGTCACCAGGTTCGCTGCTTTGCGGACTGTGCTCTGCTTAAACACAGCACCGCCGAAGCCTCGAACCCTCGAAGCTTTCCTACATCAGAGCTCGACAAAGATGACTCACGGACGACCCCCAAACCCTGAACCTTGGAACTAAGCCACCCGTAAATGGTTGTTGACGCTGGGTAGAAGAGAGGTCACCGCAGACGGTTTCTTTTTGTAAAGAAACTTAGGAGTACTTAGAACTATTTTTAAATTTTTGGTTATTATAATCCCTAAGAAACAGCTTAAATTACAATTTTTGCTAGGGTTCTTAGTTCAGTATAATGGGAAAGTGTCCAATTCACTTCACGACTTAAAACTGAGTTATCCGTCTCCATGGTTCGACCGGTGATCTGACACGGCACCTCGCCCGGCTTGTCCCAGATTCGAGAGTCGAAAGCCTAAAACCTGAACGGTACTGTCTGGCACAGTCCGAGTTGCGAGAGCGTAAACCGTACCGTGCCGTGAATCTTTGGAACACATCACATTGAGGGTTCCGAGACTAGGGTGACTAGGGTACCCTAACGTAGTACCGTAAATAGTAGGACCCTTGTTATAGCTATGTCTCCTTAGGAATTATTTCTGTTTATGTAAAACCCAAGAGAATATCAAGCATGGTATTTGTATGATGGTTGTAAGGGGGTATAGTATGGACCCCAGACGAAGGTATCCCTAATTTTCGAGAACTCATCACATCTTTCAAGCCCAGTCTTTTCTGGCCCAAGTCTCAGAAGATCATCGTATCTTCCAGCAGCCCAAAGCAATACCCAGCTCTCAGTTTACTTTGCCTTTCGAACCGTGAATGGAGAGAAGCTTTTGCAGCTGTAGCATGCTGGGGGAAGGTTTATGGATACTTGAAACCTAGCCATCGTCTGGAAAGCAACGACTCGGAGCTTAGTCCGTTTAAGTTGGCTTTCGGAGTAGTCCCAGCCAAAGGAGAAGAGCCTCGACACAAACTGCACACTCAAAACGTCAAAGCTTAACAGCTAGCCATCACCAGAATGGTAGCAAAGACACTCTTTCGAACACTATAGAAGTATGCGGGGTAGCAGCACTTGCACATGACTTGCAATGACTTGTTACTGATTCCACAGTACGAAGTTCGCAGTGTTAAGCCCCGGGGCCGAATACCCAACAGATCCTTGCCTCGCCATGCCTGTCTCGTGGAATCTCCGGCTGCCTAAGCCTCTTAGCTCATCCAAAGGATTGGGGAGTGGAATTGATGAAGGGATGTTAAGGGTGAAAGGCTTGAGGAGTTTTTTACACTGTTTGGGCTGCCAAAGGCCTGGCCTGTATTCACAGTTGCTGGCCTTAGGCTTCGGGATTTGGGTTTCTCCGGCGTTAGGATAAGGTTTCACAACCTGCTGTTGGCGTACCGGTAACAGACTTTTCGTGTAATCGCTATAAACGACCCCACAAGCAAAAAACCAGCAACCCACCCTAAAGCCGTAAACACGCTACGTAACCGGTACAGTACCTTTGCGTCGCTCTAACATAGTACCCTAGAGGCTTCCAAAACAAGGAGTTCAATAGTAGTTCAATCAACGGCTTTACGACTTCGGGCGCCCAAAAAAATCTGACCGTCGCTGCAAGCGCAGAACTCCAAATCCCAAGTCGTAAGCCCATGCAGAAGCGCGGTACATGCAGACAAGACGGAAGATAACAAGAATAATTGAACAGAATAAGCTGAAACTATAAACACTGGATTCCCCAGTAGTACCCTTTTGCTCTTTAAATCAATTTGGGGCCTCCTTGTAAGGGTCTCCGCCCACAAACTGAATACAACGAAACAGCTTGCAGTACCTTTTTATTGAGGGGCTATTGGGGAACTTAGAACTCCAATGTTGATTAGTACTGCCAAGCACTTGCGGAACCCGAAGCCCGAAACACCCTGGTTTCATGGATTCGATCGGTACTATA